AATATACTTTAGTTCTTTGTAGCTATTTATATGATCTATTTTAAATTCTTGTGTGTGCTTACTAGTTTCATCTCAGGCTTACTGACTTCTTTTACGTATTTATCCTTGACTCAGAACACTTTCTTCTTTCTCCCATTAATTTCTGTATAAAGAACACTGTAGATGCCAGGTTATTGAGACACCAGGATTGTTCTCTTCCTCCATGGAATAGTGCTTAATTGTTGTCTTGGGCTATTGAGTTGCTGTTTATTTTTTTCACAGTGGCATCTAATCTATAAACTGCCCCTTAGAGACTCTCAGAAAAGCTTTTTTGAGGCTTTGTCATGCAGGTTTAGAGATGCTGAAGGTGGCCCTCTGTGAGAGTTCAGCTTGGTCCAGCTGTTTACCAGTTCTTGGGGGATGTTCTGGCAGGGCAGAGAACTTTAAAGAGAACTCGATTGTTCTTTGAGTCAGAAGGGTTGCTTGGAAATGAAACAAAATATGAGTGTTATATTGCATTTCAATTTCAGTCTTTCATGTTGAACAAAATTATATTGTCTGTTTCTATTTTTGATGTCTGCAGATACACGTGTGTATAGATGCACATACACATGTGTGTATATGCATTTCTATCTCCATCTGTATTTTTTATTATCAATATATACTGCAATATGTACTGCTTGAATTAGGTTGTTTCTACATGCTCCATGTATCAGAAATGCAGAGTTACTCTGTGGTGTTAATGTGAGATTTTTTAGAGAAGATATTTATTGGAGCAATAGCACAGCGGTAGGGCGTTTGCCTTGCACGCAGCCAACATGGCCGACCCGAGTTCGATTCCTCAGCCCCTCTCAGAGAGCCCGGCAAGCTACCGAGAGTATCTCGCCCGCATGGCAGAGCCTGGCAAGCTACCTGTGATGTATTCGATATGCCAAACACAGTAACAACAAAGTCTCCAATGGAAACGTTACTGGGCCCGCTCGAGCAAATTGATGAACAACGGGAGGACAGTGACAGTGACAGTGACAGTTTTGTTTTGATTTTTTTAAGGATGGCAGTAGAGAAATTTTCTTTTTTAATTCTATTTGTAATACTTTTGCCACTGTCTTTATTAAATAAGTTATTAAACTTCCCATTCGACAATATTGGAACAAATGGACCTCCTTCTAATAATGTAGAATGGAGAGGGACATAGGATTACTGTCATTCTTGCTGACAATGCAGTAAGTTTAATTGTGAGGAAACTTGAAACAAACCCAAACTCAGACACTCGATTACTGTCTGTGCTTTTCAGAAATATAAAGGTTGAGAAACATGAAGAAAGACTGTTCTGGATTAGAGAGATGTTCCAGAAGTAGAGATATGACAATTAAAATAGTTCAAGACTCTGGTCTAGAAAAATAACTACAAGTGTGTTATTGTGATAACTGATAAAACAAGTGAGATTGTATGTTAGATGATATTATAGTGTTATTATATTTACAGATTTTTATAAGTATGTTTTGGTTAGATAAGATAAAAGGGAGTGTTTTGGGGGGAAGGGTAAGAGCCACACCCAGCAATACTCATAGTTTACTCCTGGCTCTGTGCTCAGGGGTCCCGCCTGCCCCTATATGCAGGGACTATGTGGGGTCTGTATGGTGCCAGAGATCAGGATGGAGTTGACCCGTCTAATGCAAGCACTGCAGTCTCTGTACTATCCTTTGAGCCCAGTATATTTGCTTTAAGAACATTTTCATTGTGTTTTTAGGAGTAGAGAAATACGTGTCTAACTTAAAAGTGGTGTAGAAAATTGTTCATTTGATGTATATGTATAGATAGATATATACACCTGTAAGTCTATACCTACATTGAAGCAAAACAAAAAAGCACTGAGGCAAAATGTGAGCAATTGATGAATCTGAGTGAGGAGTATATGGGTACTCCTTCATGATACTTCATGTTACTGAAACTTCTGATCTAATATACAAGCAAAAGTTTTACTGGAAAAGTAGAATTTCGATATATATTTTTGAATGCTAGAAAAGAGATTGGTTACATAAAATATTAAGGGGCATAGAAATCTTCCAGAAGGGCAATGGAGAAGATTATCTATGACTTCTACTCAGATCTCTTTGATAGCCATGTCCACCTGCCCACATACCAAATTCTGCAGGATGGATATATCATTCCCAATGTTCTCCCTTCCGAAATCCGACACACTATTTCATTGGTAAAGAAATGAACAGCACTGGCCCAGACAAGGTCAGATCTGAACATCTGAAGAACCTGCCATCAGCAATCATCAATATGCTGGCTCGGCTCTTCACACTCTACTTGTCTGAATGCAAGGTTCTGTCCCAGTGGAAAACCAGCAGGACTGTACTACTGTGCAAGAAGGGAGACATCCACAACATTGGCAATTATCACCCAATGTGCCTATTGTCTGTCATCTACAAGCTGTTCACTCGAGTCATCCTGAATAGGATTGGCAGAATAGGATTGAAGGACAACCATGCGAGCAAGCCAGTTTTCAAAAAGGATTCAGCACGATTGACCATATCCACACGATAACCAGGCTCATTGAGGTTTCTCAGGAGTTCAAGATGCTGCTCTGTCTAACGTTCATTGATTTAAAGAAGGCCTTTGATTCTGTTGAGACGGAAGCGGTCATTGAAGCCCTAGCCAATCAGGGCATTCAAACTCAATATATCAGGACCCTCCGTGAACTGTATTACGGATTCACTACCAGGACCTCACCATTCTACAAAGAAGTGATCATAGATGTCAAGAGAGGGGTTCGGTAGGGTGATACCATTTCACTGAAACTCTTCACTACCACCCTCAAGAATGTCATGCGACGATGGGAATGGAAAGGAATGGGAGTGAAGATAGACAGTCGTCAACTACACCATCTCTGCTTTGCTGATGACATCATTCTAATAACACCAAACATCAGCCAAGTGGTACAAATGCTGGCCAACTTTGACTGAGTGTGGAAAGGTAGGACTCCAGTTGAATCTCACAAAGACATAATGTTTTTGAGAAACAGTCTCGTTCCTGATTTTCCATTCACTCTGAATGGGACAAACATCTCCGAATGCAACAGTTATGTGTACCTAGGTTGAGAAGTCAACATGACGAATGACCTGGCACCTCAGTTGCGCAGGAGGAAGAGAGTGGCCGGGAACGCCTTCAAGAGCGTCGAAGAAATAGCTAAGAGGACGAAGAACCTCCGGCTCCAGGCACATCTCTTCGATTCCATTATTCTTCCTGCATTAACATATGCCTCAGAGACCTGGGCCCTATGAAACCAGGATGAGAACGCTATTCAGGTCTCCCAAAGAGGAATCAAAAGAGCTATGCTTGGAGTATCACGTTTCACTCAAATGAGAGAAAGAATCCGGAGTTCCGACCTGCGTGGACGGTCAAGAATCAGGAACGCTGTCTCGTTTGCCAAGGCATCGAAAATTAGATGGGCTTGACACGTAAGGAGATTTGGAGATGACCGCTGGACTAGAGCTATTACTGACTGGATTCCATGGGACGGCAAAAGACTGCGTGGCCACCCACCTACCAGATGGTCAGACTTCTTCATCAAGATCCTGAATCGGTTTGAGGCTCTTTGAACGAACAGATACCATTGGGCTACACTAGCACGTGACAGGGCCAAATGGAGATGTTACTAATTCCTGCTCGAACAAATCGCTGATTAACGGGAAGTCAAGTGATCAAGTCAAGTGAAGAAATCGTTTTGAAATCATGTAAACCTAATGCCACGGAGAATGCTGGAACCTGAGCTTCCTTGCTTCACAGTTCAGATGCCGTGTTCCTTGTCCACTATGTTTGTGAGCTTGCTCTTGTGTCTTCTGATGAATGGACCTATTTGCTATCATCTGATTGCTGTTCCTCTCGAACTGCATTTGTTCCTTGGAATAGCTAAATCACTGTCTCCGTTCAGATCTGTGGACAAAGCAAGTCTAAAGAATTACCCTGCATTAGATTGGAGAAGCACAGATCCCTTGTTTATTCATGATCTGGTCAACCAACAATGAGGGTCCAAGCCGATGGGAGTTCGTGGGTTGATTATTGAAGTAGCTTCATAAATAGTTGGGCTGTATCTGAGCTTATCACAGCATCTCCAGAAGCTGTTCCAGAAAAGTAGGGTAATGTTTCTCAAATCTTCCCATTTGGGTTCTACTGTTTTTTTTGAGTTTGAATAATTTTTAGTAGATTTCCTAAAGAGGATTTATCTTCGCAAGGATTCTCATTATGTAATCCTTCTCTGCTAAGATGAAGAAGTAGTATCTTGTTATTTAGAGGCAATGGGGTGGAAGTATTCAAAATTTATTTTCTTTTTCACATATGATTGCCTCCGTATCTTCCACACAAATCACTATCACTATCACTATCCTCCTGTTTTTTCATCGATTTGCTCGAGCAGGCCCAGTAACACTGTAAAACTTGTTACTGTGTTTGGCATATTGAATATATCACAGGTAGCTCGCCGGGCTCTCCGAGAGGGGCGGAGGAATCGAACTCGGGTCGGCCATGTTGACTGTGGGCAAGGCAAACGCCCTACCCGCTGTGCTATTGCTCCAGCCCATTCCACACAAAATGTTTAAAATTAAGAATTTGTTTTTTGCTAACTTGTGTTATGGATGGCAGGAGGGAAGCTGTCCTTTTAATACTAGCCTTATAGTCACTATTCAGTACTGTAACCAAGAAGACAGTTGCCCCCCTTGCTGTGCTATGGGAGGTGCTTTCTCTTAGGGTACGGTTTCTTCCCTGTCGACTGGGGACTCTCGGGCCCGTTCTGCTGTCAGGACCCAGTAGCCTTGGCTTCATCTTACTACCTTCAGCCTGCTCAGCTCTCTGCTAGGGGTGAGTGGTGCTCTCCTCAGGAAAATGCTTCTCAGGGTCTGTGACTGTTCTTGTGGCTGTCACTGATGCCATTAACACAGTCCCTGACAGGGATTCTTGTGTTTTTACGCCAGAGATACAAGTAAATTAATGATATCTTTCAAATATTTGTTTTGAAGTTGGACATGAAAACCAAGATAATGGAAGCTAAGTTTCATGAAGAGAAGCTCAAGTTGCAGCAGAAACATGACACTGATGTCCAAAAGGTAGGGTAAGGCCATTTCTTCTCTGACTAAGAATATTTGACATATTTTGGGTCTTGTGACTATACACCCATAGTCACTTATTTCTGTACTTACGAATGTCTGCTATACATGGAATTTGCTAATAAGTTAGTACTTTAGCCAAAAAAAAAAAAATCTTTAAATGTCACTTGCTAAATGTGTGTTCGTGTAAATTTTTAGAGTTAATGTTACCTTTTAGTTTGTCTTTATCTTTCATCCAAAGATTGGCTCCTTATCTGCATTCTGTTACCACTGTTCATAGAAATTAAAGATAGACATCGACTCTAAATATGAGAGTTTGCTTTGGCCTAAAATTCTTTCAGTTTTCTGATAATTAAAATTTACAAGGACCATGACACCCCCTCACCCTCCCACCCTCCTCGTCCCCTGACTCCTTTCAGCCTGGGAAGATGCACACATTGCAGGTGAGCCCCGAGGATCCAGGGTTCTTTCCCTCAGTCATTTATTCCGAGTCAGCCTTGCATTGTTTCCGTGCACATGGCAAAGAAAAACTAATTTGGGGGTCTGGAGCAATAGTACAGCAGGAAGGGCATTTGCCTTGCACACGGCTGACCCAGGTTCGACTCCTTGCATCGTATATGGTCCCCCGAGCACCACTCCCAGGAGTAATTCCTGAGTGCAGAGGCAGGAATAACCCCTGAGCATCCCCAAGTGTGACCCAAAAAGCCAAAAAAAAATTTTTTTTTATTGTTGCACAGGGAACCTGAGACTCTCCAATGATTCTCATAAATCATTGGAGTTTATTTCCAATACACAAAGGTGGACCCAAATGGAGCGCAGTCTGTCTGTGCTGGTGGGGAACTCAGCCTGGGGTTCCACTGCCTAAGCTCCCAGGCCAGAGATGGAGTCTGGCGTGGAGATTTGGTGGCTCTTGTTAGGCAGGTGTGGCTTTACTTTCCCTTCTCTCAGGCCCAGAGCCGCCAGGAGGAGGAAACCTGGGTGGGAACAGCTGCAGGAGGAGAAACACATCTGTTCCTTTGCTGCCTTCCCTCTGCCCATTCAGACTGTAAAGGCAAATGCTATGCTCTGCTTTCCCTAGTGTTTGGCTTTCCTTTCGGATGGGTTCCATGAAAACATTTTTCTGTCATTTATTTGTTAGGGATCCAGGAATAGAATTTCAGTGTTGTACATAATGTCTGTGTAAAATGGAAATCAGTTTATGTAGAAGGTTAATTAAAGTCAATATTAAAAAGGTGGTAACAGAGTTTCAGATAGGCTGTTAGGCTCGTCTTTTGCAAAGAGCTGTGCTAAGAAAAATATTTAGTAATAAAATCCTTTCCAGGAATTTTTAAAAAACAAATTCTTTATGAAAACAGGAAGCCGTGCACTACTTTGAAATGCCAGGTAAAATAGAAATAAAACCTGGATTGGAAGTTCTGTTGGTCAGTGCGTTGCTTGCAGGGATTCGCGAAGTGTCAGGAGTCAGGAAGGAATAGAATTTAAAGTGTCTTAAATATTTGTTTGCATTCTTACCCCTTTCTGCTTCAAAATGGACATCAGACTCAGTCTGCTTCCTTATTTACCAGTGATTTTTTGAGATGGGGCTAAAACAATACAAGGTAAATGAAATGCGCATAATAAAAGCACTAAGCAGTGATTGATTAGAATTGGATGGTTGGACTTTGATTGTAGAGGATAAATAATAAGTAAAGTGGGTATTTGAGCCAGAGTGATGGTATAGCCGGGAGAGAGCTTGCCTTGTAAGTGGCCAACCAGGGTTCGATCCCTGCATCCCTTTTGGTGACTGGGTCCCACCAGGAATAATGCCTGAACAGTAGAGCCAGGAGTAAACCTTGAACACTGCTAGTTGTGGCCCAACATTTTAAAAAAAGAAAAGGAAAGTGGGTATTTTTCCTCCTGCCTTAATTTGATTTCTTTTCTCTGCATGGTTGGGACTTTTTTTTCTCTGCGTGCCACCCGTTCTACATTTCGAGTATTTTCTTTCTTTCTTTCTTTCTTTCTTTCTTTCTTTCTTTCTTTCTTTCTTCCTTTTTTTTGAGGTCACACCTGGCGATGCGCAGGGGTTATTCCTGGCTCGTGCATTCAGGAATTACCCCTGGCGGTGCTCGGGGGACCATATGCGATGCTGGGAATTGAACCTGGGTCAGCCTCGTGCAAGGCAAATGCCCTACCCGCTGTGCTATCACTCCAGCCCCTTTGTTTTCTAGTGTTTTGGAGTTAGTAGTATATAATCATGAATAATTCTTTTAAGTATTGAAAATTTTAAGTCATGTGAAATGTTTATGCAGTTTCTAGTTTTTAAGATTTATCTTTAGTTATTAAGTTTTTTTTATTTTGGCTCTTATTATTGTTTTGTCTTTTTGGCCACATCTAGTGGTGCTTGGGCTATTCCTGACTGCACTCAGGAGTCACTCAGCCTGTGCTGAGGATGGAACTAGGGTCTGCCCTCCTGCAAGGCAAGAGTTTAACCCTCTGACTATCTCTCTGCTCCAGTTTTGGACACTTGAACTTACTCTCCTGATTCCTAGTGGCAGTGCCAGACGTGAAGGAGAGATGAGTTGCTGCACCTCATCTTCCCCTAGAGCTGGGAAGCTTGTTATTGTGCAAAGCCTGCATAACTGGGTACGGGTGAGTGGCTTCTGGGACTTACACACCAGGAAGATGCAACCCAACGCAGGGAAGGTTGGAACTGGACTGTCTCAGCACATCTGATTGTTTGTCTCAGCCTCTCCATGCAGTTGAGTTGCGGACTTATCAGAGTCACCTAATTCACTACTCACAGCCTCCTTATATAGAGGTGTATAGAGATTAAAATAGATGTTTTCCAGTAATTAGTTACTCTAATATATTAAATATTTTCTCAGTGTCCTAAAATATGTTTTTATTTATCTTTTGGAAGCCACTTATAGGGTAAGATATTCTTGCAAAAAAGCTCATTCTAAAAGTATGTATTCTTGGAGGCCAGAAAGATAGTACAGAGGGTAGGACACTTGCCTTGCATGTGGCCGACCTAGGTTCGATCCCTGACTTTCTGTATGGTCCTCTGAACCCATCAGGAATAATTCCTCAGTGAAGAACGAAGAATATCTCATGAGAACCATGGGTGTGACCCCAGAACCATAAAACAAACAAAAAAGTATGTATTCTCAAGGTAAAAAATAGTTTACTTAACCGTTTCTAATTCATTTGCAGATTTTAGAAAGAAAGAATAATGAAATAGAAGAAACAAAAATTTCATACAGAAAGAAACAGAATGAAATGGAGGAGACTATTAGAAAACTTGAAGTGAAAGGTGATGTATTGTTGCATGAAAATTGTAATAACATATCCTTTCATTCATAAATTTGTAATAACATAACCTTCAATTCGTAAATATTGTAATAACATACCCTTTCATTCACAAATATTATAATAACATATCCTTTTCATCATAAATATTATGATAACATATCTTTTTCATTTTGGTGGGTGTACAGAGAGAATTTAATTTGTGACACTTGGTGTGTGAGGGAATGCTTATATTTGGTTCTTTTTGTCAACAGGTATAGAATTTGTGGGTTTCCATGTGACTGGAGGGAAAAGTGTGTGTGTGTGATGGGGAGTGGAGGCTAGTGGCAGCTTGTTGGTTTGATTAAAGAGTTGGAAGAGTTGGTGGCTGTTACTCCCTTTGTATTTGAAAAATGTTTTAAATTAATTCACCATAAATTACAAAGTTATTCATGATTGGGTTTCAGGAATACAGTGTTCACTATTTTTATCAATACATTTGATTGAGAAATAAATACATTTATTTCTCTTGGGCCTTCAGCTTTTTTTAATATATATACTTTTTAGGTCACACCTAGTGGCACTCAGGGCTACCTCCTGGCTGCTACTCTTAGGGAATACTCCTGGTGGACTTGGGGCACCATCTGGATGCCGGGGATCTAACCTGGGTCCGCTGCACGCAAGGCAAATGCCCTGCCCTCTGTACTGTCACTCTAGCCCCTCTTTCAGTAATACAGTGTTTTAACACCAGTCCCTCTGCCAGTGTCCACGGCCCTTCCCCAGTGCCCCCAAGACCCCCCCCACCAGTTTCCCTCTTGCCCCTATGGGAGGCACAATTTTTTAATACATTAACTTTGACACTGTGGTTTACAGTCCTGTCACTAACTCTGTTAGTGCATAACACTTTACTGCCTTCCAGCCCCCTCCCTTCCTCTGGGTGGAACACTTCTCTCCTCCATGGTTGTAGTAATCCCTTCCCTGTCCAGTTCCTCCCCTGCGCCCCGCACCCCCACACCCCGCTCTCAAGTGTCATCCTTCCTAAGGAAGACCAGCTCTCTTGTTTTTTGTTTTGTTGCAGCAAATTGCATCATTTTATCTTTTCTTATGGCTGAGTAATATTCCATTGTGTACACGTGCCATATATATATATATACACATATATATTATATATATATTTTTTTAATCCAGTCATCTATTCTTGGATACTTGGATTATTCCCAGATTTTTGCTATTGGATAGTGCTGCAAGGAACATAGAGGTGCAAATGTTTATTTTCTCCATTGTCCCTTTGGGCCCTTGGGGTAGATACCATGAAATGGAGTTGCTGGGACAAGTGGAAGCTCAGTTCCTAGTTTTTTGAGGAATTTCCATCATTTTCCAGAAAGACTGGACCAGTCAACATTTTCACCAGCAGTGAATGAGAGTTCCTTTCTCCCCACATCCAGGCCAGGACTGGTTGTTCTTGTTCTTTTTTGATGAGTGCCAGTCTCTGTGTGAGATGATATCTCACTGTTGTTTAGATTTGCATTTTCCTGATTATTAGCAATGTAGAGCACTTCTTCATATACCTTTTGGCCATTTGTTTATCTTCTTTGTGGAACTTTCTGTTCATCTTCTCCCCATTATTGACAGGGTTGGAATTTTTTGAATGTAGTTCTATCAGTGCTTTATGTGGTTTGGATATTAATCCTTTATTAGATGAGTGATGGGCAAATTCATTCTTATACTCTGTGGGGTATCTTTGTATCTTGATCACTACTTCCTTTGCAGTGCAGAACCATCTTAATTTAATAGAGTCCTGTTTGTTTCTCTTTGTTTCTGTTTGCTTGGTGAATGGAGTTGACTCCTTTGATGCTGTAGCCTCAATGTCATGGATGTTACTCCCTTTTAAAATGCTCTTTCTCCTTGTTGGAACAGAGCTTCCACAGACCAATCATAGAACTTACTGACTTTCACAAAGTAATTTTGATCAAACAAAATATATTACATTAAGTATCTACTTTATGCCTTTTCATATGTGCCTGTCTTGTTATGTACTTACAAACATGTACAGAGTAATCCCCGTTACATATTCATTGGGAAGAAAAAGAGAGTATGTTATTAAGTGTTAAAATTGACCACAGTTATAGGTGAAAACATTGAAATGCAACATTCATTCATTAGAGAGAGTTAAAAGTAACTTTTTGGGTAAAGGAACTAGAAAAGTGTATTAATACTTAGTTAGCTGAAGAGAAAAGCTCCAAGTATCGGCAAAGGATGCTGGTACTGATAAGTTGTGGGAAGGATGCTCAACTGCAGTGGATTGAAAGCATTTAAGGGGCGTGACTTGTTCTGAGTTAAGAAGGAACTTGGATTTCAGATTTAGAAGCTTTAGCTTCATTCTGCAGATGCTAGGCATCCAGAGAAAAAGTACTGACTGTGAGTTTTAGGGCCTTAGTTTTAGAAAGAGAGGTCTGGTCAGGATGGGGCTGTGAGACCACTCTCATTAGATTATTGAAGACAGAGGCAGAATGTAGAGCAAGAGGGAAGGGGGGGAAGAGAAAGAGGGAGGGTGAAAAGGAGAGGGAGGTAGAGAGAGAGAGAGAGAGAGAGAGAGAGAGAGAGAGAGAGGAGGGGGAGGAGGCAGGTGAAAGAGGAACGAAAAGGCTGAAGGTTTGCCTGCTCTATGACAGTAAGAAGTCCTTGGGCCTTTGCTATTCATCATAATAAGGTGAGGTTGGAATAAATCATACAAGCAGTCATGGTATATCTCTACACTTAGTTAATTTTGTGCGTGAGAAAGACCCTGAATATCTGAATGCACTAGTGTAGTGAGAGTAGTAGAGTGGAATGGAACTGAAGAAGGAATTTGGAATGACTTGGCGGATGCGAAGGCAGAATGATAAGGAGGAGGGAAGGGGAGAAATTTTTTATTTAGGGAATTTGCAATGAAATTTCCTGGCTCCATCCCAGACAACAGAGACAGAGTATATCTGAGAGGAAGACAATATCTTTGAGAACTTAGTATGCTTGGGGCGGGGGTGGGGGGCAGAGAGACAGTACAAGGGCGCAGGCTCTTGCCTTTGCCAGCGACTCTTCTTGGTTTGGTCCTGGGTACCACATTTATTTTCCTGAGCCCTGCCAAGAGTGATCCCTGAGCATCGCCATGTGTGGACCCTGCCCCAAATTAGGATGCTTATTACATCACATGTTAACTAATGAAATGGATACTTACGGTTTGTTTTCAGCCCTAAAAATTGAAGTAAGTCATGAGAAATTTGTTCAGGTTCATTCTTAAATATTAGTGGCTACAAAAATATTTAAAATTTAGTTCTACTTTTTCAGTTTCTACTCTGATTCAAACCAATTTAATCTACTGTTTCAAAAGTAATATGTTTTAAGAGTTTTGAATTACAAGAAAATTTTATGCTTTATTTTGAAATTGTGGGGTCAAATGACCTAGATGCTAAAGGACAATAGCAAATTAACCTGGATTTTTTTCTTCCTTTTTTTTTTTTTGTTGTTGTTGTTGGAGTGGAAGAAATTGCTGTGTCAGGGTGAAAGTTTTGCTCTGCTTTCATGTGAGAGCACTTTCAGTGAGCCATTGAGACAGAGCAAATTGGTTTGCTTTGTCAAGCCAGCGTGCAGCTGAGTTTATTCTGGTCTCTCGATAGCATGAATATAGCGAAACACATTTTTTTTTTTCACTAAATCAATGACAGCTTTCATCCTTTTTAAAAAGAGAGCCTTCTAAGCAGTTTCTAAGGGCAATCTCCTCTCTTCTAGAATTTAAAGCCTCCTTATTTCTGAAGGTGAGCCTGGACAAGGAGGCTGACTCACGTGCAATATGGCCATACTTGAGCAGTGGGAGGTGGGAAGACCCCGCTCCCACTGCAAAGTGCTCCACAGCTCTGTTCACTGCCCAGTGCTCCACAGCTCTGCGCTCTGCTCACTGCACAGTGCTCCTAGCACTGGCCGAGGCGGCAACATTCCACTCTATAGGGAAAATGTGAAAAGTCCTTTCTCTTTAGACACAGGCCCAGCAACCTTTGAGGCACATCCTGTGGGGCCTGGTTTAGTGGTGAAGCAGCTGAGTTTTCTGGGGAATGAAACAGGAGTTTCTTAGACCCCACAACAGGAAGGTCCCCGGAGGTGAAGGATTCCTTGGGGGGAGGGTGTTGGGAGTTGGAGCTGGGAGCAGGGGCTGGTTTCTGGTGCTGGTGACTCAGGAACACCATTGGTGCCTTCACTGGGCAGTGTGGTGGTGCTGGAGGGCTGGCTGGGCAGTGCTGGGGTCCAGGTGGTGCTGGATAGACCCCAGGGCTGCATGTGCGAACTGGAGGCAGATATTTTAATTCCAGCAGTGCTGTGTTCCGGCCATGCAAGGCCTGTGACCTTCCACCAAGCCAGCTGCCCACTTTTGATGCTGGTAAGAATTTCAGTTGGGGGTAGCTGTCCCCAGTTTGCACTGTCCAGAGGCCTCCTGACCGCAAGGGGGATGCCCGCAGAGAGAAGGAGACACTCGGAATGTCACTCGGAATGGAGTGACAATGGACAGGGTTGGGGACCTGGAGGCTGGGGTGGAGAAAGAGGGAAGATTGTTTGCGGAGTCAGGCTTGAGATGTGGTGAAAAGGCGGAATTATCTGTTGGCTGCTGCTCTGTGTTCGCAATCTTCAACCTTAATCTGATGTGGTCACCAGAATTGGCTCAACTCTATTTTCTTCTGTGTTGACAGTTCAGACCCTTATCCGTGACTGTCAAGTCATCAGAGAGACTAAGGAAAACCAGATTGCGGAGCTTAAGAAGATGTGCGAGCAGAGCGCGGAGTCTCTGATTAACGAGTGGGAGAAGAAGGTGAGCTCAGAGGGGCGGGGGTCAGCAGGGCAGGGCCTGGCCTGGGGGAGTGTGCCTCAGGCAGCCACTCCCTCAGAGTGTGCAAGGGGCTGGGCACAAAGAAAGGAAGGGTCACTTAGGAGTCTGGAACTGTCAGGAACAGCGATTGGGCTTGTTACTTCTTCCTCTTCCCCCTCCTTATTCTCCTCCTCCTTCCCATACCCCCTCCAACTGGCGGTGCTCAGGGGTTCCTCCTGACTCTGCACTCAGGACTCCCTTTCTGGTGGTGCTCGGGGACCATCTGGGATGCTGGGGATCCAACCCATCCGGCCGCATGCACGGCAAATGTCCTCACCACTGTATTCTGTCTCCAGCCTGCTCTCATTTTACTTTTCCTTGAAAGGTACTGGGTTTCTAGAATTCTTTTCTTTTCTTTTTTTTTTTTTTTGAGTAATACCTGGTGATGCTCAGGGGTTACTCCTGGCTCTGCACTCAGGAATTACCCCTGGCGGTGCTCATGGGACCCTATGGGATGCTGGGAATCGAACCCAGGTTGGCCGAGTGCAAGGCAAACGCCCTATCCACTGTGCTATTGCTCCAGCCCCTAGACTTATTTTCATTTAGAAAACTTACTTGCACGTGGCCAATATGGCTGATCCGAGTTCGATTCCTCCGCCCCTCTCGGAGAGCTCGGCAAGCTACTGAGAGTATTTTGCCCGCACGGCAAAGCTTGGCAAACTACCCGTGACATATTCATTATGCCGAACATAGTAACAACAAGTTTCACGAAGGAGACGTTACTGGGCCCGCTGGAGCAAATCGATGAACAATGGGAGGACCATGACCGTGACTGACTTTGCTCTCAATAGATTGGAAGTAAAATTAGAGCTATAGTGGTAGGGTGATTTTTGGAAATTAAACTTTTAAACATTTGAATTCAGGAAATTGCATCATTTCTTTCCTGAAAATTCTTTACTGTACTTCTATAGATGTTTTAGTGCGTTTGTAGGTCCTCATTTATGTGGTGTGTTCATGTTCTTCAGGAGTAAAGGCCTGTGTGTATAGGGCCCTATAGAAGGCAGTTCTCAGGCACCATTTTCTCGGTTTGATTTATAAATGCCATATTTGTGTCCTCTTTTTGCTAAAAAGAGTTTCTTTGCTTAAAGTGAGGAAGAAAACATTTTTTTCCCTTTATTTTATTTTATTTTTTTTAAAGTTGTAGATTTACAATTTTTTTTTCTTTGGTTTCAATCATACAATGATCAGATACCCATCCCTCCACCAGTGCCCATCTTCCACCACCATGGATAATATCCCTCCCACCCCCATCCCCCCATCCCCCCTGTCTCTGTGGCAGGGCAATCCCCTGTGTTCTCTCTCTCCTTTTGGGTGTTGTGGTCTGCAAAAGAGGCATTGAGTGGCAAACATGTTCAGTCCATAGTCTACTTTCGACATGCATCTCCCCTCCTGGGAGGATCCTCCAAACATCCTTTATTTGGTGCTCCCTTCTCTATCTGAACTGCCCTTTCCTCTAGGATACCCGGCTGGCCTCTAAGTTATGGAGTAATCCTCCTGGTGCTGATCTCAGCTATTCTTGGGTATTAATCTCATACTTTGTTACTTTATATCCCCCAGATGAATGCAATCTTTCTATGTCTATCCCTCTCTTTCTGACTCATTTCGCTTAGCATGATACTTTCCATATTGTACCACTTGTATGTAAATTTCATGACTTCATCTTTTCTAAGAGCTACATAGTACTCCATTGTGTAGATGTACCAAAGTTTCTTTAACCAGTCATCTGTTCTTGGGCATTCAGGTTCCTTCCAGTTTCTGGCTATTGTAAAGAGTGCTGCAATGAACAAACAAGTGCAGATGTCACTTCGACTATACATTTTTGCCTCTCTGGGATATATTCCCAGGAGTGGTATTGCTGGGTCAAATGGGAGCTCAATTTCTAATTTTTTGAGAATCGTCCATACTGTTTTCCAGAAGGACTGAACCAGTGGACATTCCCACCAACAGTGAAGGAGTGTCCCTTTCTCGCCACATCCACGCCAGCATCGGTTGCTTTTGTTCTTTTGAATGTGGGCCAGTCTCTGAGGTGTGAGATGGTATCTCATTGTGGTTTTGATCTGCATCTCCCTGATGATTAATGATGTAGAGCATTTTCTCATGTGCTTTTTTGCCATTCGGATTTCTTCTTTGAGAAAGTTTCTGTTCATTTCATTGCCCCATTTTTGGATGGGGTTGGATGTTTTCTTCTTGTGGAGTTTAACCAGTATTTTGTATATCCTGGATATCAACCCCTTGTCAGATGTGTATTCGGTGAATATCCTTTCCCATTCTGTAGACTGTCTTTGTACTTGGTCACTGTTTCTTTGGAGGTGCAGAAGCTTCTTAGTTTAAGATAGTCCCATTTATCTATCTCTGTTTTCACTTGCTCGGCCAGTGGCGTGGCATCTTTGAAGATACCATTAGCTTCAATGTCATGGAGGGTTTTGCCAACTTTATCTTCAATGTACCTTATGGTTTCGGGTCTGATGTTGAGGTCTTTAATCCATTTTGATCTTACTTTTGTACATGGTGTTAGGCAGAGTTCTGAGCCTATTTTTTTGCATGTAGCCGTCCAGTGATGCCAACACAATTTATTAAAGAGGCTTTCCTTACTCCACTTCACATTACTTGCACCTTTATCAAAGATTAGATGAGCATATGATTGAGGAGAGATGTCAGTGTATTCAACCCTGTTCCATTGGTCTGCAGTTCTGCCTTTGTTCCAGTACCATGCTGTTTTAATTATTACTGCTTTGTAGTACAGTTTGAAGTTCGGGAGGTTGATTCCTCCCATTTTCTTTTTCCCAAGAATTGCTTTAGCTATTCGTGGGGGCTTATTGTTCCATATAAATTTCAAGAGTGTTTGCTCCATTTCTTTGAAGAATGTCATGGGTATCCTTATAGGGATTGCATTGAATTTATACAATGCTTTTGGTAGTATTGCCATTTTGACAATGTTAAGTCTCCCGACCCATGAGCAGGGGATATCTTTCCATTTCCTCATGCCCTCTTTTATTTCCTGAAGTAGCGTTTTGTAGTTTTCTTTGTACAGGTCCTTTACTTCCTTAGTTAAGCTGATTCCTAGGTACTTGATTTTCTGGGGCACAATTGTGAATGGGATTGTTTTTTTCATGTTGCTTTCTTCTCTCTCACTGTTTGCATATAGGAAAGCCATGGACTTTTGGGTATTGATTTTATAACCTGCAACTTTACTATACGAGTCTATTGTTTCTAGGAGTTTTTTGGTGGAAGTTATTGGGTTCTCTAAGTAGAGTATCATATCATCTGCGAATAGTGAGAGCTTGATTTAGAGGAAGAAAACATTTTTTAAACATTATCCTTGTACAGAATCTCCTATAAATAAGATATAAATACATGTAATGAGATTCCTAATCAGTTGTGATCTGATTCATCTATCTAAATATATATGTATATTTACATATATTAATATATTTAAATTTCAGAACAACATTGGCTCTCTTTGTAATACCAGCACTGAGGTATTGCATTATCTGATTCATTTATTCTTCTTATATCAGTGGATGATTCCTTTAATTATTGCTCAGCAGTTAAAATTTTCATTTTAGGAGAGCAAGAAAATGTTTCTTTTTTTTTAACAATTGTTTCATAATCATGATCTTTAGATGATACTTTTCCTTTGAAGGCCTGTTTACTGGCTTTGTAATTTTTGTTGTGTAGGTCACATTTTAAGTAGAGAGAGAGAGAGACACACACACAGAGACAGAGACAGAGAAGGAGAGAGAGAGAGAGAGAGAGAGAGAGAAAGAGAGAGACATATTTTTTTGAATTGCAAAGCAGGATTTTCCTAGTACTGAAAGAGCCTGTTTTCTTTTCTTTCTTTCTTTCCCTGGGCAGCTCCACAACGCTGTAGCTGAGATGGAAAAGGAGAAGTTTGATCTTCAAAAGCGGCACACCGAAAATATCCAGGACTTGCTGGAGGACACGAACGCGCGTCTGAATAAGATGGAGGGGGAGTACGTGGCGCAGACCCAGTCCACAGTGAGTCCTGTTCAGCAGCCAAGCTCCCCTCACCGCCGCCCCCTACAGCAGATGGCGCATGCGTGGGTGCGTGTGTCCGGGCGTGGGAGGAGAGAGCGGTGGTTAGCGTCCCACCCGCATGGGTTCCTTGGAGTGACACCTGTTCCCTTGCCAGGGTGAGGAGACTCTCAGGATGGTTTGATGCCCGCCAGCTCCAGAAGCCTTTGCAAATCTGCCTTGTTAGTTACTCATTTTTGGTTCAGAGATCATTTCTTTTCCCTCTGGTTTTTAATTAAAAAATTTTTTTTAAAAATCTTTTTATGTTGAAGCCTTGCTTATTTTTTCTGAAAATATTTAATGCAAATATGAGGGACAGCTGGTGAAGAAATCGGGGTCATGCGGCACCTTTTCAGTTTTCTTTGTAGATTCAGCTTGTCCTGGGGACCAGACATAGACTTTCCTGAGGGCAGACCCCTGGCAGTGGGCTCAGGAGATGCTGGGGTTAGAACACAGGTCAGCTGCATGCCAGCACATGCCCTGCCCACCACAGCAGCGTCACTCTGACCCCAAAGCTCAGGTGTTTGAACAGTTACAGGGGGTATCATAGATTCCCTGCAACCGGCTCCTAGCCTGGGGCACAGTGATTTGGGACCCAGATGCTCAGGACCGGGCATTGTAGGGTCTTGGGTTAAAGTCCTCGCTCATTAGCAGTTGTCAGTTTTTTAGGTTAGGTGTCTTCCTCTGTTAGATAGGGTAACAATAGTTCGGTGTCATACATACTGTTGAAAGTAGCACTGTACTGTAAGCACTGTCGTCCGGTTGTTCATTGATTTGCTCGAGCGGGCACCAGTAACGTCTCCATTGTGGGACAGTAACAGTAACAACAAGCCTCATACTGTTGACGGTAATAAATTAAATTGTGTAGTAAGTGCCGAGTGGGTCACTGTTCAGGTTATATTTTACAGTGGTCCATGCAAGAATAGTGATTGCCACTGAGGAACAGCACAGCAAATAGGGTGTTTGCTCTGCATGCAGCCAGGCAGGGTTAGATGTCTGGCACCCGAGTCCCACTAGGCGGGATCCCGGAGCACCACCATGTGTGTCCCACGGTCTCCCCTACCAAAACTACCCCAAAGAGTAATAATCACCAGAGACTGTAACTCCTAGTGGTGGCATCCTGTTTGCAACAGACAGCGGACAGTTGCTGATCCTAAAGGGAAAGTTACTTTGTTGCGGTCAGACCCTCCCTCCCTCCCTCCCTTCCTTCCTTTCTCTTCCTTCCTTCTTTATAATAGCAAAACGTATTTTATTGAAATCTCACTAGAAAAAAAGTGAGCAGAATAGACTTGTAGTGCACAAAAGGAAAACCATAAAATATACCATTTTGAATAGTTTTTAAGATGACTGGATAAAGTGCCTTTCTTAAAAAAAAGTGAGTTACCATGAGATGCACAGTTACAAAGCTGTTTGTGATCAGGTTTCAGTCACACACTTTTCCAACGTCCGTCCCTCCACTATTGACCATTTCCTACCACTAGCGACCCTAATATCTTCCTAAATTGCCACATATATGTCTTGTTTTTAACTTAGTTAAATTTATTGATCTTTTATAATTAACACTCTGTCTTGTTCAGTGATCTTTCTCTAAAGCAAATATAGAAAGGCTAAAAACTTTTAAGATTTTCTTTTAACATCGAGTCCTTCATCCATCCATCCAGTTATGTTTGTAAGTGGTGTGAGGTCCAGATCTAACTTCATTGTTTGCTGTGCGGATGATCTTTCCTGGTGTCTATTCTGTCCCTGAGTTATTTCTGCTCTGGGCGCTGATCCACATGCCTGCTCTCACTACCCACGAAGCTGTCTGTCTCTCTGCCTGGCTGGCAGGTGTCTGGGACTTGCTGGCATCACGGTATCATCTTATCACAGCTTCAGAATTCCTAATTCCTGCCAGGAAAGTCTTCTCCTCACCCATCAGTGGGTAGCACACTTGCCTTGCACACAGCTGAGATGGGTTTGATCTCCGGCACCCCATATGGCCCCCTGAGCCCACCAGGAGTGATCCCTGAGCACAGAGCCAGGAGTAAGCTCTGAGCACCTCCAGTTATGACACAACCTCCCCCCACAGCCCCCTCCCCAAAGGGTCTTGGCTGCTCTGAGTCCCTGTACATAAACATTTAGACTCAGCTTGCTGAGTTTTTAATACTTGTGTCATGAATGACTTCACACTTTTACTGTAGAAAAGATCCAGGGATAAACTTGAAAAGCCATATATCTTTAATGCTAATGTGTATGCAGTAAATGCCTTCATACAGTTGACTAGAACTTGCAGAAAGTGTTAACTAACAGTGATGATAAGGGATTTAAAATGAAAGATTTTCTTATTGCAACATATATTTAATTTATGTTTTCACCCGTAATGATTCAGAAGACACACAGCAAAAAATAAAAAAAATAATAATTGGAGATATATGTGAATGTCCATTCTTTCACATTTAGGGCCTTAATTAAAAAAACAAACAACCCCAGACTTTGCTGATTCAGTCATTAATTTCCCTGGGCTGCTATAAAAATTGGCTGCAAACTGGTTGGCTTAGAATAATGATGGTTACCTTCCCTCCCTGGGGTCCAGGAAAGCCTTTAGGGAAAGCTTTCCCCTCTCCTCCTTCTGCCTTGGGGTGTGTGAGCAATCTGTGACGTATCTTGCTTGACCCCACAGTGCTCTGGTATTGGCCTTTCTTGTCACTTAGTGTTCTCATGGAGTGCCTGTCTGTGTTCTGGTGCCTTTCTCTGGCAGTCATCAGCTCGAGGGCCGGGCCTAACCCAGACTCCCTCGTCTTAACTAATGATGATACAAACAAGACTGCATTTGCCAGACTTTTTGGGGGGGTCACTGTTCAATCCACCACAATAGATAATTGATTTTATTTTTGTATTAAGTAGCACTGTAGAACTGTCCTCCCATTGTTCATCGATTTACCCTAGCAGGCCCAGTAACATCTCCATTGTGAGACTTGTTACTGTGTTTGGCATATCAAATATGTCACGGGTAGCTTGCCAGGCTTTGCCATGCGGGCAAGATACTCTCGGTACCTTGCCAGGCTCTCCAAGAGGGGTGAAGGAATCGAACTCTGGTCAACCAGGTTGGTCGGGTGCAAGGCAAACACTCTACCCGCTGTGCTATCGCTCTAGCCCGTGTCACTGTCACTGTCCTCCCGTTGTTCATCGATTTGCTCGAGCGGGCCCAGTAACGTCTCCATTGGAGACTTTTGTTGTTACTGTGTTTGGCATATCGAATACATCACGGGGAGCTTGCCAGGCTCTGCCGTGCAGGCGAGATACTCTCGGTACCTTGCCAGGCTCTCCAAGAAGGGTGAAGGAATCGAACTCTGGTCAGCCAGGTTGGTTGACTGCGTGCAAGGCAAACGCCCTACCCACTATGCTATCGCTCCAGCCCGTGTATGTATCATATTTAAGAAATGAAGTCACTGGACATGAAAAGCAGAAAGAATGACTGGACAGAGCAGGAACTCTAAATGGTCCTATCCTCTGCCTTGTTATGGCCACTAGGGTGTTCAAGATCAAATTGAAGATCTATGTTCAGCAGTGTCTCACGTTTAGTTCCATATATCTGTACTTTATGAAGGTTTATAACTCATTTAAAATTAGCAATAATGAACCTGTTGTGTCTTAGCAAGTAATGTTCCATTAACTGTAAAATAGTGCTGTGAATTTACTGCAGAATAATTGTGTTTCACAGAGGAAAGCCTCCTGTGAGTTAAGGTGGGGTTATGCTATGATTTTGTCAAACTGCTTTACTCTCAGGTTTAGTAGGAGGCGTCTGCATGCTTGGAGCTGCTTTTGCGTTTATTCCCGTGGGAGCTCACATCCCGTGTTGCCTCTGGGAGCTGCACTCGTGCGCATGAGACATAAGAAGGAGAAGGGCAGGTACACCAGGGCATATAATAACTATCACTTAGACCTTTCAATATCCCCTGAGAGAGTCTTGGGACTCGCAACGTTTCTGGGCCACATTCTGAAAACGACTGCTCTAGCCCACGGGCTTTCAAGTGTTTTTCACTGGACTCCTAATAAGAAATAGGTCTAGAATCTACACATAAGCAAATCCACCTGCAATTTTATAACTCAAAAGTTTATAAAATAGTAGTTTTATAATTTTCTATATATTTTGATTGTTATATTGATTTGATTAAAATCAATATATATTTGCAATCAATATGTTATATTTATTTGATTATTAATATACTAGTTTTTCCATTGATAGTATTTTTAAAAATTTTTTAATTTTAATTTATTTTTTTGCGTTTTGGGTCACACCCAGCGATGCTCAGGGGTTCCTCCTGGCTTTGCACTCAGGAATTACTCATGCCAGTGTTTGGGGGACCAGATGGGATGCTGGGGATTGAATCTGGCTTGGCCACGTGCAAGGCAAACACCCTACCCACTGTACTATCGCTCTGGCCCCTGATAGTATTTTTTGTACAGAAATTAAAATTTTTTTGTTATTCAATTTATTTCTTTTGTGTTATGGTTGTCTGTACTTTTGGAATCATGTCCAATTTTCACCAAATCTAGAAGCATGAAACTTTCCATTTTGCTTTCTTTTGAGTTACATGGTATTCAGTTTTACATTTACATTTTTTATCCATTAATTTTTACGTGGGCTGGAGCGATAGCACAGTGGGTAGGGCATTTGCCTTGCACATGGCCAACCCGGGTTCGATTCCTCCACCCCTCTCAGAGAGCCCGGCAAGCTACTGAGAGTATCCCACCTGCATGGCAGAGTCTGGAAAGCTCCCTGTGGCATATTCGATATGCCAAAAATAGTAACAACAAATCTCACAGTGGAGATGTTACTGGTGTCCACTTGAGCAAATCAGTGAACAATTGGAGGACAGTGCTACAGTGCTACTAATTTTTACACATGGTATAAAGTCAGGGTCCAGCTTGATTCTTTTGAGTGCGGATACTCACTTTTGCCAAGACCATTTGTTGAAAAGATT